CTTGAAGTCAACGTCCAAGTCAATGGCGTCACAAATCGAATACATAGAAAATTTCTATTATCTATTATCACGAGTCCTCAATTGTAATTATTAGACACTGCAAGGTAATGTTACGACAAGGTGCGGTAATAGGGTTGCAGCGTGAGAAAATTCGGGGGTTGGTTAGCGGAGTTCGACGGAGTGACCACGCGAGTCGACGCGTCCATAAATGGCGCGGACGATGGTCCATGGTCGCGTGCAACCCCACCACGTACAGTCGCATGGTCTCGCTCGGATCCGACGTGAGAGGCTTCTCCAAAAATAGGACGACGACAACGTCGACGACGATAGACCGACGGAGTTTCCCGACTACCGGCCGTGACGAACTCCACCGACTACCTCGATAATAATTTCCAAACCGATTGATGTTTAATTGCAAGGTCTTCAACTCTTTCTTCTAAACTTCACTTATAAACCCTTTGCATTGTTGTGTGTTTAGCATTAGCCAAATGAGATTCACAAATGATATTCTTTTCTTGAATTTGGGTACAAATGTATTTTTTAAATATTCTTAGAGAAGAGTTGGACTACGAGGGAGGCTTAGTGTGGGCGAGATGTATAGGAAAATCCAAAGATGTAATTACAGCAAGACTGAAATCTGGAGAAGAAAAACAGATATGATAAAGAAGGAAAGAAATTCAGAAGAGAGGAAGGTGTACATAGAGCACGACCTCTCTTATGAGGATAGAAGAATATAAATAGGAGTTGTAGATAGAGTAAAAGTAGAAAGAATTAAGGGGAAGAATGTGAGAATCGGATGTAAGCAACTGTGGATAGGAAAAAGAAGTACACAGTATAAATGAGCTTCGAGAATAGGAGAAGAATTTTTATAGAGAAGACAAAAGAATGAAAAAGAATAGCAATAAGAATTTTTTGTACTAAGTTAAAGAGAAAAGGGAGAAAAATTTTAGATAACTGGAAAAGGGGTAAAAGAGGAAGAGGTGAAAAATGACTTGAGAAGTCAGAAATCCTAAAAAATGTTTGCAACTCGTGATTTTTATAGAAGATAGAGTAGTAAAGCCTGTCTGATTGCGAATAAATAGAGACGAGGTGCGTCGCTCTGAAAAGAAGAATCGAAGCGCGACCGAGATCCTATCGATGCGGAAGAGGATCGAGCTGAATGGAAGGAAAAATGAAGCGTGGGCCGTGGCTTAATTGGTCGGCACCGCGATTGTCTTATGCACGACTGGACGGACGATGCGATAGAGGGAACTTTCTTAACTTGCCCAACCTCTTCCGCTCCGCGAATTTTTGCGGCGCGGGTGAAAACGCGTCTCTCGCGCCTGCTCTTCCCACACGGAATTGTCTTCGCGTAATTACGTTCCACGGTTCCCGTTCCGTTAAAGTCGAATCCACTTAACCAACGAGAGTTACGATTCTATCGCGAATTCAATAAAAATCAATTTTTCTATACTGATAGTTCACTTAAGTATCATTTCTCTAAATTGAAATGATAAATATTTATTATTAGACTACAAATTTTTATAGAAAATAAAACATTTATGATTAATTGAAAAAGTGTGA